TTTTTTTTTGCTTTTTCGTACGGGGGCGTACAAGACGTACAGGTTCCCGTACAGGTTCCCGTACAGATCCCGTACAGAAATAACCTGTACGTTTCATACGGGAAGCCCCCGTATGTGTACTCCATGCAACGTAGTTTTGAGGTCTACCTAGGGTCATACTTGGGCTTGGACTTGTGGTTGGACCTGTGGACGCACGGAGGCACGACCTGGGTGTGGCTGTGGGGTTGTATGGACGTTGATCTGGTCGTGGCCCGGAGACAGGCAGGCAGACAGGCAGGTTGTGAGTCTGTCTATCTGTCAGGCCCAGATCAGGGAGGGGCCTCAATCTGGTCAGGTCTGTGTGACGCAGGCCCAGGGGCTGTATCGTGGGCCTGAATCTGGTCCAGGTCCAGGGGGTGTATCATGGGCCAGGTCAAGGGTCAGGTCTGGGAGACAACCTGAGGGTAAGGTCGGGGACACAGGCTGGGAGTAGGCCACAGAGACAGCCCCGGGGAAGGCCGGGCAGACACGCCTACGTGCGTAGCATGTAGGGGACAACCGCACTGCCATGAAGAGGCCTTGCATACGGGCTCGGACCCACGATTTTTTGGCTTGAGCCTTTTCTTTTTCCCCGTCATACACATGCGTGTAGGGTCTGAACCTGTGCAAGGACGTTGACAGGCAAGCAGACATGCAGCAAGGAGGCAGACAGGCATGCATCAGACAAGCAAGCAAGCATGCAGCAGACGGGCACGCAACCATGCAACAGACTGGCAAGCGGTCATGCAACAAAGAGAGATAGTGGTCAATTGCCCCCTGGGCAAGACACAACAAATAAAGCTCTCTCTCTCTCTCTCTTTCTCTCTCTCTCTCTCTCTCTCTCTCTCTCTCTCTCTCTCTCTCTCTCTCTCTCTCTCTCTCTCAATCAATCAATGAATTCGATCGATTGATTGGTCGAATTTGTATTTTTCCCGCTAAATGGTAGCTAAGAGCTAGACGAACATGCAGGCAGGCGGGAGGAGGGGAAGGTCGGAGTATGGATCATAATACACGTTAGATTATCATCTGATTTCGCTACTGGTATATTCGTTGTTTTTTTCATGGTGGTCTCCACAGACGAACAAGCATCTACTGAAAGGAACTTGGTGGTCGACACACAGGTGGACAAGTCGTTCGAGGGAATAGAGTTAATCCATGTTTGTGCGGATGGTGTATTCGGTGATTACCTCACAGATACTCGCAAGGAAGAGGAATACCTTGCAGAATGTCGGGAAGAATACAAGTATACCGCGGCTTCGGAGATTCATAACATGGATGAGCATGAGCCTCGGCCTGGGTGTAAAGTGCCCTACGGTATTGCAGGAAAAGTGTCCTACAATTCCGCATTGAAGAGACAATGCGGCCGCTACATGACAGACAATGAAGGCCTTTGGTGGACTCAAAACGAGTTCTTGGGATGTTGCAGAAGGAGGCGAAACTGGCTGCACTGAGGAGTGCATTTGGGAAAGTCGAGTTGAATGCACAATCAATGCTTCAAAGTTTCCTTGAAAGCAAACAAAGTGAAGAGGTGAAAGATTGCTCTTTGTCCGATAGTGTGGATGTCAAGAAGCAGGAGGATGTTGGCGAGGACGTCCCAGGCAGTTTAGGTCTTTGATGCAATCCTGTATTATAAATACCTTACTTGACCAAGTTGCTGAGCTTAGTACTAGAGTTGATCCACATGTGTGGCAAGAGTGTGAGTCTTTGCGTCTACAATGCGAAGCAACAGAGAGTGGATTGAGAAAATTGTTATTGGTGGATGCCTTGTCATCGATCGATCTTTTTTTTTACATCAGAGGTGTTTCAACTTCCATTAAGTGGTACTTTGGAAAAGCTTCCAAAAAGTTGTTTAATTCCTATGTTGCAGTCATTACGAATTGTTGGTTCAGAGCTTGCACATAGAAATGCACTCTTGGAGGTGCTGAATACAATGAGGTTTCTGGTTAGCAATGATCAATCGAGGGCGACGGTCGTTAATCTCGGACAATTGTACAAGGAGAGTCGGGAAGAGGTAATGAACGTTGTGCTTAGGGAGCATTTCTTAAATCGATGTTATGAGGGACTGATGCATGGCATGATCACGGCTTACAAGGAACAATTGTATACCCTCGGGAATTTATAAGTAAATGTCATTGGTGCTCATTCGCCAATGCGGTTTATGAAGGAGATGGAGCATGCGAAAAGGGAATTGAATGCTCTCGCGAGTATAAATAGACAACATGAGAGCAGATTACATGAGGTGGTGCTTGCATTGGTTGAAGCTCTTGGGCATCCATGTCCGACGTATGGCCGTATTCAGGGTTGTCATGCGGGGGCCCCCGTGGACAAAGCCAGGGTAGGGGTTTGACCCCCGGACCCCCGTCGCGGGGGTGCCCC